AGGGCCTGATGGTGAGACTTAGCTGTTGGTTCACTGTGTGTCTGTGTGCAGGTCTGGTCAGCATCAGTTCATTCAGAACCGGAGACTCCAGTTACAGCATGTGGGTGAAGAGAGAATCCAGCACCTGGTAGGTCCTGCTCCAGCCATGAACATAAAGACTGTGTCTTTATTTAAAGGCTCCAGCCTCCAGTTAACCCCCAAAATCTACAAGAAGGTACTGAAGGCAAGCTGTAAGAAAATGAACCCACGTGAAACAGAAAAAACAGAAAGATTTATGGTCAAATGCTGCCCTGTACTCATGGTCCTTGTTTACAGCAGATTCTGTCAAAACCAAGAACTTCTTCCCTCCTGGTTCTGATTCTCCATGACGTCTCTGAGTTCTGTCTCCTGCTTCATGTTCTGGTTCCACAGAGCTGCAGGACTTTATGCTGAAACATGAACCTCAGAGAAGGAACACGAGACAAAACAACAGAAGCTGTTGCTCAGATTTCAGAGGATTAAATTACATTTCGCTGCCAGTACTTACTTTTACTTTAGATTTTGGACAGAAGACCTTTTTTCATCACATTAACACAGTCATAATGATCACTTCCACTTTTGATATTTGAACACGTTGATCTGAAACTTTTGCAGGATTTATGTCTGCTGGTGTTTTCTCCCTCTGTACGGTCTGTCAGGCTCACAGCTCAGGTGGTCAGGACTCTGTCTGCAGCAGATCAGCTGGTCTCTGTGGACCACCAGTCGCTCTCAGACTCTGTGGCCTGGTTGATCCGCAAAACTCAGCAGCAGGACGGATCCTTCACCGACAAATCCTCCTTCAAAGCCAACAAAGTCATGGTTGGCGTCCGTCCTCCTTCTGCTGTCCATTTGATCTTCCTCTCCTCTGAGTGAAGGTTTGTTTTAACACCTGTGCGATCTGATTGGCTGCAGGCTGAGGGGACGACGGCGGTGGAGAGGTCGGTTTATCTGACGTCCTTCGTGCTGATCGCGTTACACACAGCGACAAGAATCAAAGACCCCATCCTGCAGCTGCAAGTGAGAACAAGCTCCTCCGTCTTCTCTTCAGTCTGTAAGATAAAATGATAATGTATTTAAAAAAAAAGATTGGGTTCAAAATCCAACACACAAAAGCAGAAGAAGCATCTCAGACACGTCGGCTGGAGGTGTTCCATGATGCAGAAAGCAACTCTAAACCATTTCAATCCTGAGATCTTTGATAAAATCATGACTCATTTTGTTTCTTCTCCTTCAGTACCACGACAACAGCATGAACTCTGCAGCAAACTACATTTCCCAGCATGCCTCGCAGGTGAAGAGCGTGTACGTGAAGGCGGTGGCGACCTACGCTCTGACCCTCCATGACCCCAACAGCATGTCGGCCTCCCTGCTGCTCGGCAGCCTGGAGAACTTGGCCCGACAGAAAGGTGTTCGTCAGTTTGTTGTTGTTGCTTGTTAGTTGACATCTAAAATAACTTGTTCACAGAAACTTCTGAATCAGCTGATGTTTTATGTTCTACCTTCATACTATGAATATCTTCAGAGGTGCAGTCGTTGAAGTACATCGCTTTTTAATTTACATGAAAGGCCTACTTTGGAAAATGATGTTGACACAGAAGGAATCAGGGCTGGAAGACAGGAATGGTATCAAATGTAGGAAATATATTATATTTATATTATATTATATATTATATATAATATATATATATTATATTATATTTATTTATACTTATATTTATATGTACATTTTTTATTTTTTATTTTTTTCCTGTCTCGTATATGTGTGCCTCTGTTGAATGCTCAACGATGTGAATTTCTCCACTGTGAGATAAATAAAGGCATATCTTATCTTATCTTATCTTAAATGTTCTCGATGTTTGTCCAGGTCACCCCGCTGAGCTCAGGTACTGGCAGGAGTCCAGTGTGACGGCTGATTGGCTGAAACCTGACCAATCCAGTGGTCTGACAGTGGAGACGACAGCATACGTCCTGCTGACTGT